CGTAGCCTGTAGGTCACTTTGGCAAACATCCCAGATGCTCAGACTTCACTTTTTTCCTACTGTTTTTTAGCTCGGCACTAACTACTGTTAGCAGACATAAAGCTCTCTGCAATTCTTTCCTCGGATCCAGCTACAGGAAAACTACCAATTATAGCCAAGAAACAGTCTTTCAAATACACATACACATTGTAATGTGGGCTGGAAACCAATTGGAAAGTTTTTGATTTGCCCTTTAAGGCCAGAGGCAGGCACTTAAGACAAACTCCTAAAACGTTTTGAAGAACAGAACAGTTATTCTAAATTTAGCATCCTAACCAGCCAGTTGGCATATAACTAATGAAAGATTTAAAAGGAATGAAATTCAACCCACTGTAACAAAAGACATAGGTGGATGAAAAATGAAAAGAAGGCTACTAATAGCCAAACACCTTTCTAAAAAGATGCTCAAGGAATACAAACATAGAGTGATTATAAAGCCTATTGCTTCCTTTCACACATGCATCTGAGATGCCTAATTGCTATGCATGAAAGTTTCTAAATTGCTGTCTGGATTCTGAATTTCCTAATAGGATGAATCCTGTCTTTTATGTGGTAATCTCCAATATTTAGCACACTGCATGGCATATAATAAGTGCTAAATAGAAGCATGCTGTACAATTGAACAAAGTAATGTGTATGTGTGTGTATGCCCATGAGCGTTCACTATATAGAAGCTTCTAGACTTGTAGACAAGCAAGAGTCTGCTTGGGTGAACTCACTCTTAGTGTTTTGGACCAGTCTAATAAAGAGGCTCCAGCTGAGGGTTGCTGAACTCGATGTGGTTTCTGCCTGTATATGATGACTGTCTACTAACCCCTAAGCATTCTCTGCTGGTAAGCTAAGAGATGATATTTTTGGATTTGTTGTTTTATAAGTTACACTTCAGAATTCGATGCATGTAACTGAATTAAACCTTAGGAAGTCTGGATGAGTATCCAAAAGAATCCACATCGCAGATGGTTGGCCCAAGCTGGGGAGCAGCTACGTGATTTGCCTGGGGCCACACAAAGAGCCAGCAGTTCCAGACAGAGGTGTCCCAGATTCCGTAAGTTGTAGGCTTTCTCAGTATGTAAAGGGAATTAAGCTATACTGAGTTACTCATGTAAAACAAGAAAATTGGAGTTATGTTTATAGAAACGGCTCTCACATCTTTGTTGGCATCTTGAATAACTTGCAGATAATTCGGTTTTAGAAGAACTAAGACCAAATACTCAGAGGCTGGGTGGGAGCTGCAGCGAGCCGGGAGCTCCTCCTGCAGCATTTTTTTCTTACCCCACTTGTTGGATCCTGGAGTTAAACATTAAATTCCACTACTTTTTCCTTCTTTCCTTCAATGTTGCATTAATGAAGCCACTCCTCAAAAATGATATACCCAAAGAAGAATCTTATAGTATGCAGTTTAAGATTCCAGTCGATTTTAAGCAATTTTCTTTGATGGCATTTATCTCCCCCACTGTTCTTGGACTTTTTAAGATAAAGAGTCCTCAAGCATCTAAACACAACACACACGTACATATACACACACACGAAACCCTCTAATTTCTTTATTAAGCACGAATGGCACTTAGTTAAGAAATAACAACTCCATTGTGAACTAAAAGATGTTTTTCAATTATACAGTTCTGTGCCACAGACTACAAGATCAGAGGCATAAATAATAAAGGAGGGATAAGGATGTGTTCCAGATACCAGCATGAAAAAATTTAAACACTAAGTAAATTAATCTCGAGTCTGCAAGGAAGACGAAGAGAAGCTGGGCTACATTAGCTGCTGGAAGACAACAAACACCCTCACCGCCTGCCACGTGGCCTGGCTCATGGTGGCCCTTAAAAAAAATCCAGGTGGAAGAAAGTGTGAGCTGTGTGGGGACCCTGTGTGTAGGGACCTGAACATGTTTTTACATAAAGATAAAAGATCCTATTTAATGGCCGGGCGAGGTGGCTCACGCCTGTAATCCTAGCACTCTGGGAGGCTGAGGCGGGCGGATTGCTCCAGGTCAGGAGTTCGAAACCAGCCTGAGCAAGAGTGAGACCCCGTCTCTACTAAAATTAGAAAGAAATTAATTGGCCAACTAATATATATAGAAAAACATAGCCGGGCATGGTGGTGCATGCCTGTAGTTCCAGCTACTCGGGAGGCTGAGGCAGAAGGATTGCTTGAGCCCGGAGATTGAGGTTGCTGTAAGCTAGGCTGACGCCATGGCACTCACTCTAGCCTGGGCAGCAAAGCGAGACTCTGTCTCAAAAAAAAAAAAAAAAAAAAGATCCTATTTAATGAATGTAGATAGAGGGCTGACAGCACAAGAGTTCTGCTCCCAGTATGTATAAACTGTTAGCTATCAGAGAGCCTTCGGGACTTTGATTTTAGGGAAGGGCGGAAGGCCACAGAACTCTGAGGCTCAGCAATGGGGACTTGGTGGCAGTGGGGTAAAGCAACAAGAGGGGGTTGACTGGGAACCACCTCAGTGGTCCTCAGAACTTTGTCTGTGGTACACCAGGACACACACAAGTTTGCATCGAGATATTTTTGTGCAGCTGCAAATGGTGACGGCTGTGCTTCAAATCCTGTAAAAAGCCAAAGTCGACCTTCAGTCTCTTACAGTCCATCCCTCTCACTTTACAGGTGAGACTGCTGAGGCACAGAACATAAAAGGATTTGCTGAAAGGTCACAGCGTGAGTCAGTAGCAGGAATAGAGCTAGAAGCCAGGTCTCTCCTTTCATTCATTCAACACATTTATTAACTATCTACCACTGGCTACAAGCTGTGTTGGCATAATTAGTATTACTTCCCTCATGCCTGGAGGCATTTATATACCTGGAGATTTTTTGAGAGGGTTGATATTTTTTAAAATATAATTGACTTCATATGAAGAATTGTTTTTAAGAGATTCCATTAATCAATTTATCCAAGTATAAAATTCTTGTGCTGAATGTATCTTTAGCTTATGGGGCACAGTTTAACCAATACAAATTTAACTCACCTATTTGGTTTACTATATTAGAAATAGATGTAGTATTTTAATACCCCCTCAAATCACCGATGAATGATTCTCTACCTAGCATAATGAGTAGGAGTAGGAAATACTCCCATTACAACACTGAAAATTTGCCTTCAAGAAAGTTGATATTGTAAATATTATATACATAATCCTAAATCCATAGAAAATAAAAAGATCAAAAGCAGAACAGCCACATTCGTGTCTTGAACACTACACTAGCAATTATGTCAACTTCTGACTCACCTGAAGACCTAGTTGCTATCCAACCAAAAAAGTAGGGTAATTGTCCTTTTTCGTATACATAAGGAAAGTGATTTTGACTACTATGGATTATTTATTTATTTTGATGATTCTTCTCTGAGTTGGCTCCAGGGAATGACAGTAAGCTAGACAGCAGTTACCCCAGCGAGAGATATTTTATTGATTTTTTTTCTCATTTCCATTGCAAACCTTTTATCACAGGGTTTGAATGGGCAACTGTTTTGCCAAAAAGGGAATTGATAATAGTGAGGGCTGTTCTGAAGAGCCCAGTCAGCCAGCTAAGAACGCTTGCCAATGCAATGTGGTGATGTCTCAACAGTGGGCTGGGCTTACCTTTCAGACAGAACAAAGAGCATCTGGTTTATACAACTTCTGCGAGAAGCTTCTGTATGTGAGATTCCTTCTTCCCAGTTGAACAGAATAACAACTGGACACAACTTATTTCTCTCTTTGCTGAGCTTGGCTAACCCCCTTTGGAAAACATGGTCTCAGAAACAAGGTAGAAACTATGACATTGTGTTATTTGGTAATTTATATGGTAATAGAAGCCACAAAGTTAAAGAGTTGAAAACACAGTACTTCACTGTTTTTCTTTTTATCACCCAGACTAATCAGAAGTGATCTTGGTAGAGAGTCGAGTGTTCAACTTAGTTACTTGGCTGTAAATTGTGTCCCTAAGCTTGGATTCCCAGCGCAGTTAGGTGCAGCAAAATAAACTTCGGGGGAGTAAATTACTAACGTCAACTAAAACTGGGCCTCTGGGGATTTTTGTTGTTGTTGTTAATGAAGGAAAGCATTTACTTAACAAACATTCCTTCAGTGCAAGTATGGTGCTAAGCTGCAGAGACCCCTGGTTCCCAAGCTTACTGGGGGTGTGATCTTGGGCTGGTCAATCAGGCCTGGAAAACCTGGCTTGCTTCCTGACTTCTGGGGCCTTTCTTATCCTCCCTACCTAAAGGATCGCATCACACTCCTTTAAGCTGAGATAATGGAGATGGAGACCTCAGCACTCAGATCTCCAGGCTGATGAAGTTCTCCAGGAAGTATGAGGTTCAGAGCAGGCCTGGAAAATGCTCCCACCCTCGGGGCACACAGAAACTCTCCCCAGGAAGGTGAGTATTGACAATGTGGTTAAACTCACAACTCACAGCTGGCCTCTGGCTTGCCTTAACCCAGGATCACCAAACGTGCTTTCATCAGTGTTAAATTTTTACAAAGAATGTCTGACTTTTCCTTCTCCCTGGGATTTGAAGAAAAATGAAGCCATAGGTAGCATACTTTACTTAAATGGAAACTAGATCAATTTAGAATTAAGTGCAAGGTAAGTGTACATTTCCCTCTTTTTCCTATCACAGCTAACTTCGTAGGTGACTATTTCTACTATGCAACTCAGATGCAACTAGAGACATTTGCTGTTCAGGATGACTAGAATTTTATAAAACTTTATTATTAGATATTATCTGTGAAAGGTCAGTCCAGTGGTTTTACAGGGAAACTAATGGGCTTATGGCTCTTAGCAAATTAATATTCACATTATATGCATGTCCTCATTTGAAAAGTGGACACACAATGTCCATGGGCATCATGTCTCTGTGTAATTTTGGAGAAACAGAGTAAAAGGAGGCAACTTAAAATAAGAAACAAAAATGAAATAAAAATGAAAAGAAAAAAAAGAAGAAAAGGAATATACTTTGAAGGCGCTTTTTCCATAGGAAAAAAATATTTTATTTTTTTAAGAACAAATTCAGTTTGAAACAGACGTGGAATGTGACTTCACGGATTTCATTTTCTGGGGCTAACTGCAATGTGGAACTAAAGCAGATTTAAAACCTATGACAGGCTATTAAAATAAAACAAAGAAAGAAAAAAATATTTATAACTCAAGCATAATACTGTGTTACTTACAAATTGGACAACGAAATTTTAAATAAATATGCATGGTACATAATTACGGCACAAATATGCAGCAATTTGGCAACCTTTTATACCATTTTTTCCTCATTACAGTGCAAAGGGGAATGACACTGCCGTTAAACAAGCTGTAGCTAAATACATTGCAAAATTCAGATTTTATACAAAACATCTTGCTTAGACTTTATAAAAAACCAACATTGCTCTATGTACACAATCTGGGTAAGAAAAGCCATTTCTGTCTTGTTTTCATGTGTATTTTTATTAAAAAGGTGAATAAGGCTACTGTAACACCCCAAATCCATATACAGTAAAATCTGAACCTATTTACAGCATCTTCACTTAAACATGATGGTGCAAATTCCAAAGTCGGGTGACTAGGGTTGATAATACAAGCAAGGCATTTACAGTAACTTTCCAAAGCTGAACCAACTTCAAATAAAAGGATAGTTGGTAGATTGTCATATTCTGCACCAGACACAAAACAGACGCACAGAACACTTCAATTGGTTGCAGGTAACTCTTTATCAATCCATCTGGTTTTTCACAGTTTCGCATAGAACCAAAATGTAGCCAACTGATGATACATACATTTGATTTCATTAAAATCAGACTATTTCCCATTGTTCCCCTTCTTGCCCCTCTCCCCCATCCTAAAAGTAACTTTTGATGGCTTACAAGAAAATCTTGTCTGAATGCACATAAAGGAGAGGTTGGGGTGATGGAAAGAATTACATATGTACTGCGGCTGGTCGCCATGGCAACCCCCCACAGAAATATGATATAGATATATATAATATATATTGTAGATATATATTATACATATATGTACACATGTATGCCACACACCCACTCATACATACACACACGCACTTTGGACCAACATTATTTTTCAGGTTCAGGAAATAGGGAATAATAATTTCTGTGACAACTCATTTCTGCAGGTACTCACTGGAGGTCTGAGAACCTTAAAATGCTGTCGCTACATTTTTTTTTCTTCCAATTCAGAAAGCAAAGTGTTACCATAGTAACGGGACTATGTTAAAGATGTCTATTTTGCATAGCACATAAAAAGTAGGTTTCCTGTTTTCTCTCCTTGTTTCCCAGAAGGGAGGGGGTAGGGGGTGGGGAGGAGGGGAGGAGGGAGCCGAAGCCAAACTTTCAACTGGAACCCCCTCAGTGAGACCTGCTGGATGCTAGAGAACACTTCAGCCCATAAGGCAAGGGAAAACCCAACACGGAAAAGAAATGCCGGAACATCTTGTCATTGTTAAATATGTGATGATGCAGTAACATCGATTTCCTGGTATTTTGGGGCTTGTATTTCCTAGTCTACAGTTGTGTGAGATGCCTTCAGAGGGCTTTGTTATTTTTGTATTTGCTCTCATTATTGTTATTTTTGGAGTGATGTTGTTTTTCCCAGAAGGAGCTGTCCAATTGGTTTTTTTTTTTTGTTTCTTAAGCACTGAGCCTTGGGACCACTTAATTGCCACAAATGAATTTCACATCTTCTGGTGTGTACTGTGTGCAATCTTAAAATATATATTAGTAAAAATCTTTCCTCTTATATCCCTTGTGTTCTATATAGCTATTATAAATACGTCCTATCTTCCTTCTCCCCCCTCGACATCATAATTTATTTCCGTCTTAAGGACTGACTCCAGGAGTTTTCCGTGTGTGCTTCACTTTGACACAGAGCACCGGGCGGTGCAGCTGCCTCCTTCAGTACCTGCCCTGCAGCCCTCGCCCGGACAGCACGCACCGCCACAAACCAAAGTGTCCTAAGGCTCAACCAGGGAGGGGGACTTAGGGAAGGGGGATCTGACCTACATTTTATAGATGAGAATTCCTTAATAATGTCAATGATGATGGAATTACAGCCTGTTTGACCTTTGGCTTTTAAACGTCTAGGTCAGGTTTGGCTCTCTGCTATTCTCCTAAATGCTTTCCCTGTGTTTAATAAAATGTGATAAGTATAGCAGCTGAGTCTGCTTAAAAAATCAGCCAAAGCAGACCGACTCTCCTACAGCTTCGGAGCCGTATATCTTATTGCCAGTACCACAACAGTCCTCCCCGAATATATCATCAGCGGCCTACTTTCTCCCTTCCCTCCAAGCCAGTTCCTTTACCAACAATACCCCCCTTTGTTCCACGGAATGAAGAGGGACTTCTTCTTTTTCCCTGCACATTGCTATTTGATAACAGTGAATTCTTCCCAACGCACTGTGATCCACTGTGTATGTTGTTGTGTCTCCTACTTGCCTCTTAAATCTTAGCAAAACCAAAAGTGCTGTGCTACCTAAAATTGGTTTTTTTTTTTTTCTTTTTTTCCTTTCCAACTTTCTGTTTCAGAGGCAGCAGCAGTGAACTGCGATTGCAGCCAGCCCTTTCCCCAGCCCCGGCCGGGGTTCCAGGAACTCCTCGTCTCCCTCGGCTGACAGCCTCGCATCTGGCTCAAGGGCGCCTGGTTAGCAAACACAGTTTCTAGACATGGATTACCCACTCGACTGAAGCTGCTGTCGCTCACGGCTGGGGTAGGGGACTCTAGGCTTGGGTGTCCCGCCAGTGATGCAGAATGTGGAGTGGAGGAAATCTTAGGGGAGGTGCTGCAGGCCCTGGACGACAGGAGGAGTGAGACAGTGAGGACTAAACGCTAGAGATCTTTGAAAACTTTAATTAGCCCGAGGTCCGTGTGACAAGTCCAGTACGCGCGGCGGGGAGGCCCGCCCCAGACGGAGGCCGGCGTCCCCAGGCGAGGCCGGCCGGGCGCCCGCACGGCGGGGGCACACCGCTCGCCGCCTTCCCGGCCTCCGCAGAGGCCGGAGCGACTGCAGCACATGGCTTCGAGGACAGCCGGGGGCGGCCCGGCCGTGCGAGGGGGGCCTCCGCAGCCTTCCAGCTCGCGGGGAGTGTCTGTGTCCACCGAGGCCGGCGCGCTACACACTAGGGAAGCCGTCCAGCTCGCCCGGCTCTTCCGGGAAGGGAGGAGCGCGCCCTCCGCGCCCGGCCGCTCCGTCAGTCCGCCCCCTCGCGGGCTCGCCAGGCCCGACGGCGCTGCGACAGCAAGTCCCCTCCGGGAGAGAAAGCAGGGTGGCGCCAGGGTGGCCCTCAGACCTTGTAGTAAATGTTCGCCGGGCTCTGAGGAGGCATCTCCTGGACTATGTACACCGGGTGCCCATAATCCCCGCTGACCTTCTCATAGTGCGGGCAGAAGACACTGTCCGCAGTCCTTAAGGGGATGATAATGTCACTGGGCTCGGAGCCGTTGTTGTTGCCGCTGCGCTTGGGCGTGGCCAGCGTGCTCAGCGACAGCGTGGTCGTGTGCTGCGGCGAGTGCTTCCGGTGTCTCCTGCGGTACTTCAGCAAGAGCACCACCAGCGTGATGATGATGACGATGAAGATGATGCAACCTGAAGCAATCCCTGCGAATAAGGCCACTTCGGAACCCAGGATGTTGTTCCCCGAATGTCCGGCGCTGTTGCCGTCCGTGCTGGAACCTGCGCGCGGGGAGAGAAGAGAAGAGCGGGGCGGTCAGCGCGCACCGGGCTGCCTTGGTGCCTGTCCCCACGCACGCACGCGGGAAACGGGCAGGGCCAAAGACCTGCCTGGCGGCTACACGCTGACAAGCAACATGCCTCGTCTGATAGCGAAATGCAGAGGGCAGGGGGAGGCAATCAGTGTGCAAGATGTGTCCCCAGGCCGGACTTACATGCCGCCCCAAGCCACACGGCTTGCTTTTCACCTGTCCTCATCCATCAAGAGCACTGCTGTCCGCGACAGCCACCTCTCGATCCTGCTTTATCTTCTACCGGTGGGGGCCGGCCTGGGGCAGCAGCAGGCAGGAAAAAAGGAAGGGGCCAATTCTCCAGGCCAGCGTTTGGTGATCCCGTGGCCCTGCCGTCCCCTTCCTTTCAGAAACCCGTGTTTCATGTGCATCTTCAAACAGCCTGCCTTTTAAAGAAGAGCCCTGCCTACTGGCAGAACAGCTCGAGAATGTGAACGGAGGGACCGGGCCTGGGAAAACGTTCAACTCTAACTCGTTTGTATTATTTGATTTACACTTAAAATATATTTGGAAGGCAGCAGAAACTCTCACACTGAACAGACTGCCAGCCCAAATGTTAAGCACTAAAAAATTGCCTGGCATCATTATATTATCCATTTATCAGTTTGTCACAAGAATTTGACACATCTTGTCATTGAAAGTTAGAAATAACAACCTCCCTCCTTGACTCTTGGAAAGAGACAGAATATTGCTGCAGATGCTAAATTCACACAACTACCAACCTAGCATACAGATCCCTAATACAACAGTGCTGACGTCTGCTCAACAGCTACTATATAAGAAATTCATTAGCATGGTAACAAATACATAGCTTTTTGTTCCAAGCCCATCAAGAAAATGAAGTTCAATGACAGCCAAGTTTATCTGGTATTCCGCACTTTTGTCAGGGATGTTTAATATTTTATTTTACATGGAAAACGTGAAAAAAAAACTAACAATACCCCTGAAAAACATGCTATTATGCTATATTTTAAAATGTTACCATCTAAAACTTAGGAGAGGATCAATTAGGCTCTTTGTGGATTAGATATAATTAGATGAAGGATTAGCACATTAATTATATATACATTAACATCAGCTTTAAGCTGGTGTTGACAACTAGCTTGATAATGTGACAGCCAATGAAAACTTCGGTCTAACCGGCACTTAAATCTGATGAATTCTACTCTTTTGAAGGTAAGACTTTCATGGGAATGAATTATTTTGTTCTTATTGAGTGTAATTAATAATGACTCACAGAGAGCAAAGGTTACTAATGTCTATAACTACTAGTTAATCCTACTAGAGTAGAAGTACTTTGACTCTGTTCTACCTCTTGAGATACTACCAAGCGTAGCACCCACAGGCCTATATAATACACAGATCATGCTGCTATACCTGGATTTGGTTTTACAAAAGGACTTGTTGTTGAACTTCTTCCATTTGTACCAGCTTCTAGTTCTGGACGTCTTGTTGGATCATTATTCCTGGTTGATCCAGCAGAACTCGCATCTATATGAAAAACAAATGATTAATTACGGCACAGACATCTGATGATATCTAGCTTTAGGAGCTGCATATGTATCTCAAGAGGCATGAATAGCAATGAACATAAGATTCTTTATGCAAAGTACTGTGAAATACAAGAATATAATTTTTCTTTTAAAACAAAATGGTTATACTAGTTATTTCAGAGGTTTAGATTGTGAGGCCATCTGTGGAAACTATAGGGATTCTTGCATTTGGCAGGCAAAGCATTGCAGATGACATTTCAATTTAACTGAACAAGTTGATTGACTACTATACCAATTTCTAATTAGAAGAATAATTCTTTCTTTCTGCACAATAGGTTTGTCTATATAAGAAAAGGCACAATGAACAAAACTCTTCTGTAGTCAAGATTCAGAAATGAGCAAAACTGTAGAAACTTAGTTTTCATTCTGGATTATTTTGATTTTGAACCAAAGAGGTGTTTTGCTTTTTAAAAAGAAATATGTATCTCTCTATATATGGCAATAGATATTCTACCTGGCTGACCTTATTAACTCTTACAGAGATCTTCAATAAAAGAAGCTTAGTGCATGGACTTGAGGAAATCTGTCAGTGATTCAAGGTGCAGAGAAGGGTTTGCTTTCAACACTAAAGAGAAGCGTGAATGAAGGTGAGTCTCATCAACATTAGTGCCACGCTAGCTGGGGGGCTTAACCAGATCACAGTGGCTTCATGAAGCAGCAGATGGTCTTTACCTTGTCCAACTTTCATGAGGATCTTCATGGCTCTTGTCTGGCACACCCCTCCCTCCTGGTTATCCAGGCCCTCCAAAGACCCATTTGATGTAGCTGATTAAAAATAAGATGGACAAAACAAAAAAATAAAGAAAAATCAGGAAATCAATAAGCCAAGTTTACATGAACATGAAATGTCTGAAAACAATTTGAAAAATAAGAATTCACTCTTAGTCACAAGTTTTCTGAAAGTATGGGATGCTGAAAGCCAAAAAGAAAAAGAAAAAGAAATAAAGAAAAATGGATACTGGAAACACTGCCGCATGTATGCTATCTGGTTCCGAATTTACTTAATCTCCTTCGTAAATGACTGATTCAGTATTTATCTATAGGTAAAAGGGACAGTACCTTCCAAAAAGCCCACTGACTCTTCTGGGGCCCAACCCAGAAAAGCAAAAGAGTTAATACAGCCATTTCAAAATGTGGCAATCATCACACGACACCTGCTTCCTCCACTACAGATTTCCTGCTTCAAGAACAATTAGCTTGATGCTCTGTTTGTCAAGCATCCAAGTTCTGTAAACACTAGACAAGGAGCCTCCCACAGCCCTTTTTTTTCTTTTCCCAGCCTTATATGTGCTTAAGAAGTACACCAGGATTCAGGACTTTAAAATCTCACTTTTTTCTTTCCATCACTTTGTAAACCCAAAGGAATGCCTGTGTTATTCTTGCCAGTATCAACCTCGATCAACCTCTTCAACCAAACTACCTGTTGTAGGAAAACTCTGGCTGGATAGAGTGTCAGCACACCCACCCACTACTTAACCCTAACTCTGTCTGGGTCCCATGGCAACCCTGGACATAAGGGGCGGGGGCAGACTTTTTAGCATCCATTTGCATATGTTTACCAACTCTACTCGCTTTCCATCTCAGCAGTGAGGGGCAGGGCTAAGGACAGAACCATTCTACCATTCTCAGTAGTTTTCTTTTTTTAAACAGCCTATGCTCAACTCTATTTAAACACATTCCTGTTCTGTCTCTTTAGACCCGGGAGCTCTCTGAATAGCTTTGTAACTAAAGCTGTAAAGAGATAGGCTGCCAGGTACTTCAATGAGGAACAGGATTTAAATTACAGTTCAAGTTCCAGAAGAGAAAAGAAGGTGGAGAATGCTAGACATTTTCATTCCCCTAAAGTTCAAGGGGCAAGGAACAAAAGTGTTTCATATACGTTTCTGCAATTTAAATCAACTTTCTACTTTGATTATCAAAGTCTCGTCCACCAACATTGTACTCTGAAAGAGACTGAAAAGGGATACGTCCTGGCAAACACAAATCCCAAAGACAGTCTTTTAACTGGGTCATTTGTTTTCCAAATAGTAGATCAGCAAACCAGCTCTAAATGCGTTTATAGTAGAAATATATTACATTAACAATTACATTAACTAGAAAAATAAGGCACTTATTTGCTTACATTTGTTTTCTTGAATTATTAACTTTTACTTTCACTGTTTTCCTTAAAAACAAAGCCTGCCTCTTCTGTGGATAAACGTGTCTCTGCTTCTCTGAGTGCTTGCTTTCCACTTACACTGTCTCGCTCACATCTTCTGCTGTTGTTAAGAACTTTTTCCTGGGAAATTGGGCAACACTTGCCATAATATTAATTTTTTGTAGGGAGGATGGTGGTAAGAAGTACACAGTATCTGTTTGTAGACTGTTGAGAAAATGTTTGGCAGATAAGTAAAATCAAATAGCTAAAAACTTTGTATGCTTGTGTGAATCAAAAGAAAAAAACGTGTTTTTCAATTCTTCCTCCTCCTTTTCTTTTCCCTCAAATATGTTCCTACATTTCCAAGTATCTTGAAACAGTATGGATTTCTGTGAGCAGATTCTATTTCTAGAAACTTTCATAGAAGCACTGTAATCTTCAACTAATTGTTTAGAGTTTTCTCATTTGATTTTTATTAAAAATTAGAATATATCTTCATAAAGTAGAAAACTGATGTCTCTCTTTAATTGTTAGTTTAAAATGTTTTAATTTTCTTAATTCAAGTGGAATTCCAATTAAAATTCACATATGTGTAGATGCATCTACAGGCAAAAGTGCATCCAAACTCGAAGTTAAATGATGAACTTTTTGTTGCTAAAAGTTTCAACATGAAACAGAAAAATGACAGTATCTGAAGAGGAGTTCATAGAAAGAAAGGGAGGAATATAGATTTGTTCATTTTAATCTTGAGGGGGAAAAAAGTCAAAGATTCGGATATAAAAGAAAAACAATTAAATACCAGAAAGGCTCAGACGGACATGTTATAGCAGCATCTTTCATAAATATAATTCCAAGCAGCATTTGCAGAGGGAGAAACTACCAGTGACTTCTACTTCGTCAAACTGGAAGCACAAAAGGCTCACATAATTTGAGTGACTTTTTTTTCTTTTAATTTGTAGGTCAATGCCTTTTCTGAATATCAATGCCTTTGTGCAGTGCTCCCTAGGTTTACCCAAAATGATGTCTGAACAACTCCCAAATGTAAAAAACTCTAAACATATTAAAATTAAATCTATGATTTAACAATGTATAAGTTATATTCACAGACATTAAGACAGTAGAAGGAACACTGTGTTGCATGAGCATGAAACTGCTTTGCACCTTTAAGAATTGAAACTGTTTTATTCCTTGGTTAACCAAAAAAAGGGGGGGGGGAAGCTTTCAAGTCTAGAATTGAATAAAGGAAAATCTATAGATGATGCCTTTGTAGGTTCTTCTGAAGCCAAGGCTATTGCTTGCTTGGGGGAGGTGCCGGTGAAGTGGGGGCGGGTGAGTAGAAGGGGGCGGAACATTCTGCGTGAGGACAGTTTTCTTGCTACACTCAGGACTCTGCTTCTTTTCCTTTTAAGTCAACTTGCAACTTGCAAAGGTTACTGGAAGATATTGAAAAAATTCATTACCAACATTAAAATAGCCTCCCAAATGTTTGGCCGTTTGGAAAAGGGCTAAACTTTACAATGCTGTCATACATGTTCCACCATGAAAGATTTTTGCCATAAGTTAGGAATGATCTAAGTTGTCACGAAAAACCCTGTTTTAAGACCTTAGTAACAACCGAAACATCAGAAGGTAAATTTTACAAGTATAATATAATTCAGAATGACTTCAATGTATTTTATGTTTGATATAAATATAATTTCCCATAGTGAAAATTAACTTCCCTCTTTCTACTATGTCCTCATGGGGAGTACAGTTCTAATTCTAGAGGTCCCCACCCTGCCTTGAACAATGACGCAGCCAAAAGTGAACTCTGAGATAAAACCATGAGATTGATATTCTCATTTCTCTTGCAACAGTCAGTCACCAAGGAGCTTTAAAAGCCTTCATGGCTGATTTTGAAAAATAACAAGAAATCATGAATGCTTGGAAGTAAAATCTATTTCCATTTTAGGAGACAATTTTGCAATTATTTTTACTGTTCATTTAAATGTACTGGGACTTTTTAACTTGGAGAAAGAGCAAAAGTAAATTGTTGCCTCATCATACTCAGTTTTCCTTTGTGTCTCGCTACCAGCATTATCTAATGTAGCCACAATCGTAGTGTTACTAAATGGATGAAATTGTATTTAATCATTGAGAGAGAAAAAAATAACATTATTATACCTAAGCTTTTAGCACCCTGATATTTTTTTCCCTTGGCTCAAGGAAAAAATAGACTTTATAAATTCATAAATTACTAGTAAACTTCTCTATCCAGTTGGAAAACAGGCTTAATAAAGGTACATGGGCATTTGTTGTTTTAAAAGCTTTTGCTTTAGGGGTCTAATCGCCAGCAGTGAGCATGAAGAAATCACTGTATTTCCCCCCAGGGCTTAATTTCCAGTGGGTGGAGATCGCTGCTCAGCAAAATAGCTCCCTGTGTCCACATTGTCTACAAGTTCTGTAGCACATCTGAAAGTTCACAGCCAATGTCTGTGGCTACCCATTTATTTGCACCTATATTTATCTGTCGCTCTCAGTCATTGGGAACAGACACTGGTTATGTGAGTAGAAAAAAAAAGAGAGAGAGAGAACCAGGGAGTAGTACAACGGGGTAAAGGGGCAAGAATATTTCTGCAGTGCTTTTCAGACCAGCCCCACGGAGAGGAAATAATAGTCCGTTTGAGCGGTCTTCATTTGATTGCACTGCTCTCTCCCCAGGAGGCGAAGCTGCAGCTCCGGACCCTGGCTGTGTTCAGTCCATCACATTGGTAAGAAAGTACAATCAGATGGAATCAAACTTTGGGATTGTGCTGGTATATGGGTCTCCTTCACAGAGACATTAGGCATGGGGAAGTACAAAGTATCTCACAGAACAATGGCATTACTATGAAGGAAAAGTTTTAGGTTCTTGTGGGAAGAATGACACATCAAGAAATACTAATACTACAGAGGGTATTTAAAACTACTTTTAAATGCAGCTTATTAATATAAGGCCAGGATGGGGTGGGGGACTGGTGGACACTTGAAAGCAAACATTTATGTCAACTTCATCAAAGAGTGACAACTAATGAGCATACAGGGTCAGGGAAACCACAGAGGAAAAAGAGTAAGAACCTTTCTAGAAGGATAAGAAGCTGCACCTGGCATGATTCATTCTCAGTGGATCAGAAACAAGCAGCATTTCATGAAGATCCTCTGTGGAAAGCACATTCTGCTTCTACTACGCTTTTCTGCCATGTCATCAAATGCTGGCCTGCTCATTGCGATTTCTCAGGCCAGCCTTCCTACACATTAGTCTCCTTCAGCTCAGCACAGATTTGGGAAGACCAGAAGCAAACTGAGGAGCTAAAAAAAGCATAACCCGTTAACAACCCAAAAAGCAAAATTGTGACTTTAAATAAACATAACATATCAAACTAATTAATGTTTTCTTGTAAATCTGAAGTGTCCAAAAATAAATAAGTAAATAAATAAATAAGGTATGTAAGTTGAAAAATAAGGAGACCAAAAAAAAAAAAAAATTATTTCATGTGAACATAGAATCCAGGAAGCTAAGATCTATCTACTTAACATCCTGACATCAATTCAAATTCAAAATATGTGATGCAAATTCAAAATATATACTACAGGGATTCAATTTCTAGAA